ATGTGATTTTTATCTTTGTACAGAGCTTACTCAATCCAAACGACGATCATTGAAGTAGTGTGCAGAGCATTATTTTCAATCTGACGACTGTCATCATACTCTATAGTGTTTGCAATGAGAGACGTTTTAGCACATCATAAGGACGTCTGCTCCCGTGTAAATTGTTGGTTTACTGACCATGTAAACATTCTTCGCTCTACACTGGAACAACTGTAAACTAATCAATGATCACGAAACAATTGAAGATATATTTTAAAGGCTATCAATATCTCGAGAAGAATTTGATCTATGTTGACCAACAGTTGTAGGAGATGCGCAGCACGGCTTACGCATTCGTGATATGATGCGGATGCGTAGCCGAGCGCTTCATGATTCTAGTTAAACCAATGCGGTCAGTATCAAATGTCGAAGACTTACAGAACTATTTATTTCAGAGTTTATTTACTACTACAGAGTGATATTATGCATGGTGTTTTTTTACTTTCCACGTAAAAAATACGATGATATTATTACAGTCACAATACGAATAGGGATATTTTAAATTTCAACTCGTCAGTAACTAAGCACATGATTCATGTATTTGTAGTGACTTACTTTTATCAAGAGAATGTGATTTGTATAATGGAAAAAATTATTATTATAACTAATTGTACCGATGATTGTTTTACTGTACTTGCTTGTTTATCTGTACAAAAGACATACTTTCTTCGGTTGATTGTGGCCTTGCACGAGTTTGGTTAAGCTCAGTAACCAAACTTGTACTCCTTTGGCACGATCTCGGTATTCTTTCGTTACCAAGAGATTGCCAACGAACACATCTCGACTACAGCCATCAAATGCCTTCTGACATTTGGCTAACGGGGGATTTTATCGGTTAACTGGCACGTAGTCTTCTTGTAGTGGTGTTCATAGTCAACCGCGACTCGATACCATACTACATATTGTCTCTTTATCTCCAAAATACTTGAATGTGATATTTATACGTGATTTGTACTCGATAAGATCAGTAAGTATCTGCATTTTACACACAGATATATTGAAACTGACTCTTATAAATAACATTCGTACTGTGATCAGAATGTGAATAATTTAAAACCTACTGCCTACACGAACGAGCGAATTCAATAGAGGTGGCTGATGCACGAATACAAACAACAATTTTTATGTGGTCATCAATACTGTATTTAGATTTGAACTCACTGAGAGCTTGTGCTTCATATTGGCCAAGGTTTTCACTGAAAACAATTACATTGCGGAGACAAGTAACATTTGATATTTTGTCATCCGTTTTTCATTCGTTTTGAAATATCTTCCACAAGTTTATTGAAAATACGAATCAATAGGACTGTCAAAATCCGATATGACATCAGCAGAAATTTGGTCAGAAATCGATTAATCTGGAACATCTGTCCCACAAAGACATTCAGCTTCGCTCAAGGAGATTGGATATTTAAAATGGATGTTCAAATGCTAAACTTGTAGGTTTCTTCTATATATCCATGTGAACATATCTACTTTTGCCTATAATATATGTGTTGCCCATCTATAATAATTTATGCACAGTCTTATCTCATACATCTGTGTCGCGGTTGACTATGAACACCACTACAAGAAGACTACGTGCCAGTTAACCGATAAAATCCCTCGTAAGCCAAATATCAGAAGGCAGTTGATGGCTGTAGTCGAGATGTGTTTGTTGGTGATCTCGTGGCATCGAAAGAATATCTAGATCGTGCCAGAGGGGTACAGGCGTGGTTACGGAGCGTAACCGAACCTGTGCATGGTCACGATCAATCGAGTGGTAATAATATGGCTGTCTTTAGCACAGTTAAACAATCATCAGTACAATTGGTTATAATAATAATAATTGTTTCCATTAAACCAATCGCGTTCTCTTGATAAAAGTAGGTCACTACACATCTTATGTATCGCTACAATTATAATGAGTTGGTTGAAGTTTCAACTTCATGGGACGTAAACTTGTTTTTCGTTTAAATGATTGTATTATTACAAATGTCGAACGTGTCATTTACCTCCAAGGTAAATTTGAGAAGACTAACGTACCGCTACGGCAAGCATCACGACTTGTAGATGTTTCAGAAATGAATCATTTCGATGCAGGTAACTCTTGACTATAAACAGTTCGGTTTCGGGTAGAGAAACCCCAGATATTCCCACATGCTGGCTTTTGAAATATCGCCATGAAATTGAATTTTTTCGGTACAATCATGTTCTCTGAACTAACAGTAATATTGTGGACGACCATCATGGTATTGTGAACATTCCAACTATCGCATCTCACAGTGTCATAATAGAGAGACGGAAACCTCTACTAATATATTTCCAGTTTTGACATCTGTCCCTAGTCAATTACATTCGCCAATATCACTCAGGCTATAACTACACCGAAACTGTCTTACGATGGCAAACCTGACAGTATGCCGAGATGGTTCTTGATGTATGGCAGTAGAGAATCCCCATTATTTTGCCTTGGACTGACAAACTGATGTGTCGAATATGGAGTCTAACAGTCTGTGTAGAAAGCACCTCTTTATGCTCCCGGATTCAAAACGGGATCAAGTAGCGTTATTGCAAGCTATCGGCCTATTAACGTGACCGCCGTATGATCAAAAGTCATTCATGCACAAACCGCTATTACCAGTTTTGCCTACTGACGGCTTTATTAGCCTTTCCAAACATGAAACTATGACAGGACGCTCCTATTCCAATTCCCACTTAGAACGTTTTGATCAAATGGACAACAAAGATACGTCAGTGATGGTTCTATACTTTGATTTTAGTAAGATCCTCGATAGTCTCACACAACCCCCATGAAATGTCCTTATTTGGTGTGTGAGATCTCCTATTATGGTGGTCCAAACCTCTGTAACAGAACGTAGGCAAATCGTGCGCTTTGAATCTCGGTACTCTAAGCCTATGAAAGGAAATATGGTTGCCCCGTTTCTCTTCCTTTTTTGATAATAACGTGTGCTAACTCTCTTGATACGACAGACATCTTTTTGTTGATGAAGCTTATTCATGCTCGACTTCCACCAGAGATAGCTATGTTTTGGCGGTAATCTCAGGAGCCATAAACAAATTGTGAGAATAGTCTGTTGTGGAGCCTGTCAGTGAATGTTCACAAAAGTGTAGTCATCTAAATCGGCCGCTGCCCTTAATATGGTTCTACACAAAAACGTGCCGAAATTCCCCAACGTTGTTCGTGATTTGTATGTATGGCATAGCGACTTTTCTGAGCGCAGAGCAACCCAAATATCAAAAGCAAGAAAGCTCATATGATGAACTTACTTAACACTGAATCTAGATTTTCACATGGAAATGCATTAAACCCATCCTTGAATATGTTGCTCTAGTCTACAGTAATTAAAGGTATAACGACTTGTTGAAAATTGAGGGTGTTTGAAGAGGATTCCGAGGAACGTCTTTGGAGTGTTCCGCTAATATAGATCATCACGGAAGCTGTGGTAAGCTAAAGTTTTTAACCTCTCTGGATTAGGCGAACTACAGTTAACTTGATCGTTCTTTACCGACTTATAAATAGGATTTCCTACTCTTCGGAATTCACTCCCTTCGTACCCGATGATATGATTCCACAACCTGAACACTAAGGAAAATATGATATCGATCCTGTTGAAATTCTCGTGTATGAATGCATTCTTTCACAACACTTATGCGTAAGTTTTGCGGTTAATAGTAATTATAATAAGCATAAACGAAACACTCAACATTTCAACTTTTTAATCCAATGTTTAATTACAAAACACTGGGTAGAAATAACTTTCATCAGATTTCCCTGAACAGCTGTAGTGACCTACTTTTATCAAGAGAACGAGATTGGTGTAATGGAAACAATTATTATTATAACCAATTGTACCAGGGATTGTTTTACCATACTTGTTTGTTTAACTGTACCAAAATACATACATTCTTTTGTTCGTTGTGACCTTTCACGAATTCGGTTACGCTCAGTAACCACACTTGTAACCTGGCACGATCTCGGTATTCTGTCGATAACACGAGATCGCCACAACAGCTTTGAAATGGTCTATGGTTCAATAAAATAGTATCTCCGTTTCTATGTAGCCACCACGTGACATATTGAGTGATTTGAACAAGATACTAACAATAACTGCTCTAGATGTCAATGGGACTTATTTTTATGAACATGGGCGAATTCAGGGCAAACCTGATGAAGCACACCTGGTCGAGAGCAACTAGATATACATTAAGTTACTGAATTGTTTCAAATCGAAAAGAAACTGTAATCCATAAACTACCTAGAATAGTCACTCTTATTAACAAATAGAGTAACCAATCAGCTGGAGGACTCATTTTTGATACAGGCGTTATGAAATCCTCAGGGTCAAGTGAGTTCATGTGAATGCGCCTTGACCGGTGTTTGGCGACATGTGGGTAGTACAAAAATATGCAGGGTACATGAATGCTGTCATGTCAAATTTAGAAGAGAATAGAAAAATATGTAGTGAACAAGAATTAAAGCAATCAAGTACTTCAAGTGTTTAGTTTTAAGAAAAATGTGGACTATCGAAGTGCTACGTAATAAAGTGTAAGAGTGTGCTTTTTATCTGTTGATATGAGTAGCTTCCTGTAACTACTGACCTTAATATGAACGTGTTATTTAGAAGAGAATTTCAGGAAGATTGGATTCGAAAATTATTAAACGAGAAACAGTTGCTCATACTTTTATTGTATAGTTAATAGAAGTTTGGACTATGGAATTCTTATATTCTACTAATCGTTAGCTTTTGCCTAATCTGCAAACTCGTACTATATACCCTATGGTATTAGACACAACTAATTTTGTATCACTTATGACTGAGTTGTGTATAAGTGGTAATTTTCTATTTGCAATGCTGTGAAATCAAGTTTTGGAGGTATACTATAGTATACTTTTTGAGTGCGAAGAGAGAATGAATTTACTTTTTATTCTCACTTTCCCATTAGGACACTAGGTGTTAAGTTATTGATTATTGTTTATTAGTTGTTATACAATTTGATGAAGAAGGTCACTGGTCTTAAAACAAATATGAACAAACTAATCAACTAACAAACTAGATAGTACAACTAATTTTGTGGTAACGGCCTGATCACACAAACATCAACACAAATCAAAAACATATTCTTTTCTTTTTGGAAGCACAACAGAATCGGAAGTCAACTAACAAAATACAGCTCCTAAACAACACAGTAACTTGACACAAATGAGTGATAGTATGAAACAAAGGTATAATATTTAGTGTTTTTGATGTATTTGGTAATGAAATTTAAAACCAAATTGTTGAACATCTGGGAGTATCGTATATTGAAGCAAGATATTAAAATACACTGTGGATGGATGTTAAGATGAACAAGAAACACGTAGTTTACGAGACCAATCAGGAGGACGGTATTTAACCCGGGATACAAGATGAAAAGACTAAAAAAGAGAGATATTTTCCGAAAGTAAAATAATACCGCGTTATATAAATGTACATGATTTGGTAATATTTGTAAAATTTCAAATGATATGGCTAGTAAATAAATCTATTTAGCTATGGGATGAAAGAGACTTATGTTTCACGAACATAATTTTATAGCCGCTGGAGTTCAAGGTTGTAGTAGTTTAATTGCAGAATTTTAGTTGTCATTCAGGATAATCAACGGCTAGTTTAAATAGAACTAAACACTCAAAGATTATTCTACAAGTGGAAAATCGACCAATTGAGGCGTTAGGTGATATAACCAGTAACCAATAGCAACAATGCAGATACATTCACTACTTTGTCTTCTCTTAGATTCAGAGTTTCGAAACAATTTTATACCTTCTAGTGAATTTATTATTGCCTCTCATAAATCATTGTTTATGTCAAATGTATTTTTACTGTTACAGACACTAAAACTACTATTGTCCTAATGCTCTTCGTGATGCAGAGTTACATACTGACTACTGCTAAACATACAACGTCAAAATACAGCACATTCGATATCGAGTCATTTAAACGAGTGACGACATTGCGAACTGGTTTAAAAATAACTTGATTCGCACTAAGAGCCAGGAAAAATTGGCATTGGTTTTTACCGTGATCAATTGAAATCAATGGTATTTTGATGAATGGATGAAAAATTCGATTAAAAACAAGTAAACGTAAATTGGCATCTTTACTACTCACCTCGTTATTCAAAGACATATCAGGATTTTTAAAAGGTGTGGTCAATGAATTGAATAATTGTTGTGCAACTGTATAATCTCCTTTATCAGCTGATTTAATAGCTTCTTCGGCAAGATAATTACGTAGAACTACTCGAGGATTTACAGACTGCATTAAATTTAAACGTTCAGAGAATTGTGTTTTGGTATTATCATTATTCCCTTCGAAATCAATTTTTAAACGTTCTTCGTATGCTTGTAACCAAATAGACCATAGACGTTTATTTCTCTCTTGGTATTCTTGTTCTGTCATATGCTAAATAGAAGATAGAAAAATACTACTTCGTAAAATATTCTGTGTATTACAGTCGGCGGACAAGTAAAGTGCTGTCTTATTGAAACAACCACATTTCAGATGACGATAGTTATATAAATACACATAGTTATTCTACTATACAAGTATAAAAGTAGATATAATGTTAAAGTAAAACTTGACTCATCGGATGCCGGCGACTATACCACAATGGCGTTGGTGAATACACTCTCTGTCTTCCCTTAAACTATGAGATTAAAATCGCTTCATATCTTTCTTTCTACGAACTAATTCTTTCTTCCTGTACTATATCCTTATTGCAATCTTTCTTTTATATATTACCACAACTGAATTAACTACTTTTATGAATCCAGTGTTCATCTTGTTGTGTTAATGAGGTATGGCAACTTGGACCGATGCATATATGTGCTGACTGACTGACCTCATTGGATTGTAAAAGAAAAAAAATAATGAAGGTACACTATGTGTTTTTTTGTTATGACTGTATTTGTTTAAACTTATAAATGAGTTATTATCACTTTCTATTGTTCTGATGATAAATAAGTTTTTTAAAACACACGTCCATACTTTACCTACTACATAGGAGTGTAAAAACTTTAACTAAATGTTCAACAGTTTTTTATTTATTTTTATATTTGGCAACTATATTTTATGTCAATAATTGTTAGGTTTGAAGCTATCACGAGTTCACTTAATCTGCGAACGAGAAACAAGACTCGGTGACTAAAAACCAGTAGGCTAGCTATTGACGCGTCCCAGCCCCGCTAACTAGAAGGAGAAGTCCAAGCTTGAAATGGGAAGTATATTCTGCAAAACAGCCAGAAACGAGCGGTAACAACAAACACAATTCAAACATATATATACAGTACAAAACCGTCCTTGGGGAGAATTATATAATTTATATAGTCTATTCCTTTGTTATCATCAGAGTCATAAACTACCTTGATTGGTTTAATCATTTCGTATATGCATATAAATACATTACTGTATGTTAGAGTAAATCCTGATGAAGATCTAATCGAAAATAATAATGTTCTAAATTACAATATAAGAACTTTTCAAACTTTAACTAGTATGCAACAAATTCAAATCATATTCAATCTTGCTTGGTTTGAACTGCTCCTAAAAACAAACATTTTGATTCAACCAGTTGTAAATATATAGGTCCCTACAGGTCAGTCGCGGCCAGGAAAACTGAGAGGTACTGTCTCTAACTGTGAAGCTGGGTGACACAGGATAGAATCTGTCAGGGAGGATCAATGGCTTCACGATTACAGGTACACGGTGCTGATGAGTGCAAAGTAGCATGAAAGCTAAGTTTAGGGTTTCCTGTAGACCACCTCACAATTTGAATTAAAGCTAAGTAAATAAAATCGTATTTGTTAAATGTGTTATAAAATACCCGCTTCATCACCATCAGCTAAAGAATGTACTTTTATTTACCTCTAGTTCTTTGTACAGTTTTTCTTTCTCCTTACTTTTCAAAATTTTCGTTTCTTCTAGTTGATCTATGATATTTTCACGAATACCAGTAAATTTTGCAGATAGTTGACGATGTCTAGGATAAGTGTAGGAAAGAAAGAGTTAGAAATAAATATTCGATATAGGTCAAAATACAAGTGAGGATAATCTAATTCGTATACACATTTCATTTAAACACTTCATTGACTGTTGAGAATGGGGTCAATGTGAGGTTGCAGTCAAAAGAAGTACATCATGAAGCTGTTCACTTTTGGTGTATGGTGAATTTAAACAGTGAGATTAGTAATCATTATGTTCAATTTGCATGATGTTACTAGAACTTGGAACCACTAAAAATCAAATATGTACTATTGTATTCTAAACCTATTGATTCAGATCAATAGATAAACAGTAGAAAACGATACCGATTAATGTTGATTTGTACGACGAAAGAAATGGAATGTGGCTAACAATGGAAAAGAAGACGCGCGCATCGTTTTATCCGCGGCCCGTTAGCCGGATGTACCTGCACAGGAACTACATATGCCAACCAAGACCGACCAAATTATAGTTAAAATATCAACAACAAGGGGATCCAAATCATTTCAACTTGATTTGTACGTCCTTTTTTCGATCAATACACGAACTCACATCATAGAAATTAGGGTAGCAACACATTTGTCCTAACTCTGTTTCCACTGTTTAAAATATCTATGAAAATCTTCAGAAGTCAGATTTCTCAGTTCTCTCATCAGTTCATATAGTATTCACAGCGCCTAATACTTTGCTAAAGTAGTATGAACGTGTGATTTAAAAAACTTATTTATCATCTAAATAGTGCATCAAGGGAATCAGAAAGAAGAGGGGATAATTTATATTTATTATTAATAATGGGGTAGATGATTGGATTTCTGCGACATGTGTTGCACAGATAGGTTCTCATAAACTCATCCCATAAGGCTCTAAACACGATGAAGAGCGGAAACAAATCAGATTTAGGTTAACCAAAAGTCTAAGCAACGATCGTGAGCAGTGGTGGGCAACGAAAGCAGAAAAGATGAAAAAAGCAGCCGCTGTAGGTAACACAAGAAAGCTTTCCAGACTGATAAAAGCAACCGGAATTAAGAAGTCAAGTGTAAGTGAGATTATCTCGGAAAAAGACGACACTTATCTACTCTCAGGCAATGAGTAGGACTTCCCTGGCAGAGGCTGTATACGCGTGGCCGTGTGAGAGTATTTCGAGAGGGAGAGGGGACTCTCCCCACTCTCGGCCGTACCAGGGCACTTGGGGATATATATATTTATATATATATGAAGTTAATCAAAATAACGTGCTATGGAAATATCAGTTGTCTTATATAAAAAATGATATATTTTTATACGAAATGGCAGTAATCATTAGATATGAGCTTCGTACATGAGCTTATGAAACTAAGACCTGATTTTCAGACTTACTTATCGAAACCGTATAAATATATTATGAATCGAAATATATAGCCAGTGTCTGAGAATAGTAAATATATTAGTTGAAGTTAGACACCAACACCGTTGGATGACAGCCGGCTCAGTGGTTAGGTGTTTGTGCACGAGACCGATAGGTCCTGGGTTCAAATCTCCCGGGGCGGGATCGTGGATGCGCACTGCTGAGGAGTCCCACAATAGGACGAAACGACCGTCCAGTGCGTCCAGGTTCTCCATGGTGGTCTAGCTTCAATTAACTCATGAGCTCAGCTATTGAAATTACTGTTATATCCACAAAAAAACTCTTCAAATATTACTATGTTTGGTGTTCAGACGTTGATTAAAGTCTTTATAGATTGAAAACATTAACGTAAACGTCAGGTGATACAAGAATATATATATATATATATATATATTAGTGTTGTATACTTTTTATGGTAATATTTAGTCACTTGGAAATAATAGCCGTAACAGATTTTTCAATGCATAGAATTAAACAATTCATTAGGAATTTTGTTTATTGTTAGTCAGTCTTCAACAAATAACTCATATGGGATAGATATATGGAGAAAGCTGGACTTACCCAAGTATACTAAAGTTAAGATTCATGATGCTTTACTTAAAATTTGAAAAAAAAAAGAGAAACGAATAAGTGAAACACTTACAATTCCATATTAGTCGGTTCAAATGTTTCTTGTAATTGACTTAAACTACAACATTCTTGAACAATCAGATCAGGTTTTAATAAATCTGCATTATTTTGATATACAACTTGTGATAAAGTATCTTCTAAAGCTAAAAATGTATTTGTGAAATCAGCACCAGTCATTTCCATTGTATTAAACAAATTTTGAATAAGTTCTGTATCTATTTCATCCTTGGCATAAAGCAAACCTAACTAGGGAATGAATATAATAAAGATAACACATTCATAGATCAAATCATTCAATTTTACATTAGTAATTATTAATATCAAGGTTTAACTTGATAATTTCAAGTAAATTGAACATGGAATATACGGTTCATAATAAACATTAATGATGTATTTGCAAAATTTTAATGAATAATTTGAATTTCTACGGTTTCATGACCTAGTGTGAGTCAATCCTTCAAAGTAAACGAACCAAATTAAATTAATTTGACAGTCGAATTCATAAGTCAATTGGAGGTGGGCCACCATGGGAGCACTGGATGGCCGTTTTGTCCTAGTACAGGTCTCCTCAGCCGTGACCAGTGAGATTCAACCGGGTCTGTTATGAGATAGTAACTCACTGGTGACAATGCTGAATGGTGGCGCAACTTCGTGGATTGGTTGGAGTAAGACATTAACACCATTGGAGGACAGCCGACTCAGTGGTTTAGAAGTTAGGTGTTCGCGCGCGAGACCAACAGGTCCTGGGTTCGAATCTCGCTAAGCGGGATCGTGGATGTGCACTGCTGATAGCAACCGATAGTTAGAGAACTTGAATGACATGACTCAAAAACGTTCGTAATGGCGCAGGTGCATCCACTCTTTGTGTTCTCACAAATTCTAATTTTCTGAATTATTCATGTCCCTTATTTCAGTGGATTATACTCCTCGAATAACATCTTCAAATCCTAATGTTTCCGATTACTGACTATACTCTTACTACCTCTACCACTGTGTGATTCGAATCGAAAACTGCATCTCTGTGCTAATGTAGTATGGCAACTCGAACTGATTTACGTACGTACGAAGTTCTATGTTGTCACGGACTGACTGCTGAGGAGTCCCATACTAGGACGAAAAGGTCATCTAGTGCTTCCAGGTTTTCAGTGGTAGTCTAGGTTCAATCGACTCGTGAATCCAACTATTAAACTACTATAATATCTGCAAAACTACTCTCTGATTAAAATTAACACAGGTTTAAAAAGAAGATAGGAACAAGGTAGAATATTTACTTCAATCTAAAATCACAGAATTATTAGGTCTTTTTTGTTTAGCCAAGGAATATTTAGGCTACACGGAAAGACCTAATGATCCTGCATAATTTGATTGAAACAAATATTCTACCATTTTTGTTGTGACTTTATGTCCGGCTTTTTATCACGTGATTCATCCACCAATCAAAATACGACTTATACAATCTTATCACTGTGCCAAACCAATGACGTTCGACCGGTATGAGCAGCCTAGCGTCTTTATTGGTCCTATGTCCGTCTAGCCCGTCTAATTCAGTCCAGAACACCAATACCAGATTCCACTATGAGAATAGAATCGAACAATTTATTTCAGGCATACTGGGTTTATATATCAATCAAACAGACCGCAACGCACCATAAAATAGGAAATAACATTTGTACACAATAAAGCCAAAAAGTGGCTGTGAACGTGGGAGGCAGTAGTCAATAAACTGAACATAGCTTAGGAACAGTAAATCATACAATAATAATAAAAAGGTCAAATAAAGCTTATAATAAGGGGAACATAAATATACATAATCCAATTATTGAATAGTAACGTAGTGAACAGAACACCAGTGGGGACAATCGAATGTATTTAACACAAAATTACAGGACTTGTTCATAAAATCTAACAATCATAAAGTAAATGCTTAATTTGCAGTGTCCACCAATTGTCTTAAAATGACTCATACTTCATTGTTCTCGAATTTTCATACAAATTGCATCCTGTTTCCATTTTTTACTGTTCGATCCTCTTGTCTCTCTGCTGCCAGACCTTCTGTTCACGACTAATATCATATACTACTTAAGTTAATATAAGTAGCACACACCACAGTAATACTATAAGAATGTATAGATAACATTAGTCAATTATTATGTCTCAGAAGTTACTCGTGATTTAATCTTCGCTCATATATAACAATTTTACAAGTATCTTTATTTTATTAGTATTTTCACGTTAGTTTACTTTTGTGTAATTATGTTCATTAAATAATCTATGGAAAGTAATCTCTGATTGTTTTTAGTAAACTAAAATGAGCTTGGCCATATATCAGACATCGAGATCTGTAGATTGATTCTTGGTTGAGTTCTGGTTGTATGTTGATGAAAAATATCAAAGAGTTATCAAGTTCTATTTACTTTTCAATTTATTTACCAGCTCCATTGTACTGTTTATAGTGTATTTTAAAATTACAAAGACTTTTAGCTTAGATGAATGCTTCTCTTAAATCTATGATTTTAGAATTGCATGTCATAAGTGCAGAGATTTGATGACTATACTATAAAATATCATTAACAACATCAAAACTACATCAGGTTTTACAAATTCATGTATGTTGAATTTGTCCACTAATTTCAGGTCCACTTGTAGCTAATTCATTATTTTCTCCAACTTAGTTTGCCTTTGATTACATAACTTATATAAATGTTTTTAGATGGTTTAAAACCTAAAACAAATTGATTACAAAAATATTCTGGAAGAACTTTAAAAGCTTGAGATTTTGTTTCACCGGTAACGACAAATATGGATAAATAGGCTCACTTACTCATTTGGTAAATTACTTGGTAATTTTGTTTTAAGAATTTGAATTTCTTGTTTTCGCGCGAAAGGTGCTCATTTTCACCTTCATGTCGTATTTTCCACTTGGGAGAATCTTAAACGCAAATGGTTCGTCGTATCTTTTAGGATGATATTTTGTAACGCTTCCCAATGAGAATTTTGTGCTGTATATATACGTTGGATTTGTGCCTGTTGTTTTTTTCTCGTGCTTCTGTCTGCTTGTGGAATATATTTCCCCACTTGATCTTGAACTTCTCTCTCTAGTTAGCGGAACGCGTCAGAACAGCTAGCTTATTAGTCTTTGGTCAGAGAGTCTTTGTTCAGTCTAGGTGAACTCGTAATCGCTTCAAATAGTAAATGAGAAAAGCTAGTCCACGGAAGGAATATCGGAATCGATAGGAAAAACTGAATGTGGTACACGAAGAGATTCTAAATTCTTGATATTCAGAAATTGTAATCGATTTCTTATAAAATTCAGGTTATAGACTATAATTTACAATAAAAACGTACAACTATTAAACCATTATGTGGTAATTCAGCTCAAATCAATTCACTACCTAACTTTCTTTAAATTCTGAGCTTTGAAATTACTTTAAACCTTCTATTCTACGAACTTATTCTTTCTTCTCTAATCATGCATATACATATATATAACTGCTTATCAACTTACCTTTTTACGCATTCTTTCCAAATAGACACTTTTAAAACAAGACAAATATGTAGTATCCAAAACATTAGTGAATTTTTTTGTAAGATTATCAACAAATATGCATTCTTTATTCGTTGTTTTATCAGATGAACATTTCTGTTGATCAATTAATGCTTGAATTAAACATTCAGCTAGACGAGCTAAATTCCATGCACAAACACTTGGTTGTTGAGCATATGAATAACGTCCATTTGGATCCGATGTATTCGATATATGATCCCAAGTGAACTGATCAATAAAACCAAATGGTCCATAATCAATTGTTAAGCCAATAATACTCATATTATCTGTATTTAATACACTGGTTATTTTATGGGAAAAAAACAACAAATAAATTGAAAGGTAATTTTCTATGAATAGAGTAACAGTGATGAGTTGAAAAAAAAACAACTGAAAATCAGCAACTGATGGTTGTTTAATTGAACACATAGATATTGGTACAAGGAGGCATTAAATATATATGCGCCACGCAGATCTCATTTGATATGTGTGAGGGCTGTGATACTGCCCGGGTGTCCAAACCGAAACAGGTAGCAACTGATAGACAGTAACTCAGTTTTAGTTAGGAACTTGTCAACAGTATGAGCATCTACAACACTATACGGAAATGTGGACTATTTAATCCCATTAAAATGGTTTGTATGTAACGTGACCTCCTCCAAACCTGATGATACCAGATTAAGTTCTGTATATAATCCTGGGGGGGTGCACTGATGAAGAGTTAAAATTAGAGGCGGGATGACTATCTAGCACATCTCCCAATTTCAAAGATTTTCAAGTTGATATCAATCTGTGATGGAAACTAAAATTGCTTTTCTTGAGTTGAATATTTTATTGTGAATCCTTCAGTGTCTTCACAGAAAATATTAACACAAAATTCAAAATAAATGGGGCATGAAAATTTCTCTGGAAGTGACCAACAGCTGATTTGATTAGTTGTTGCCGAAAGTTTCCCTGTCATGGTCTGAACATTTATTTTGACTGTAAAGCATTGTTTCGTTATCTTTTACCAATGATCAACTAAGTAAACTGTTTGTGTGAATGTATACATTCATGCCTTGGCTATTTAGAATATTTTTAATCGCTTCCAGTGTTTGGAACTTTTATTATTGAGTCAACAAAAAGTTGAAATTTTTTGGTGTCAAAGAGAATCGGTTCCACCTGTGTTGTAACAATGATTATTTCAGTACTGAATTTGTTTAGTTTGGCTATAGATACTGTTTCGCCCATTTTTACACAGAGTTCATTTTGAATGTGTTCCTGACATTTACATGATAGTCGTGGTATTTCCTTTAGATGTTCATGCAATGGTAGGTGTTTTGTCTTTATGCAACTGCTTTATTGAGTATAGTTGATCGTTAGTTAATTTGATAATACCAAGCTTTTGGTGTAATCACGTTGGTGAAAATTTATCCCTTACATCATTTGCTTCTTCGTTTCAAAGGTATTTTACAGTAAGTTCAACAGAAAGAAGACAATAGTGATCTTTTCATGTCAAAATTAAGAGCTTTTCTAGTTAGAAACAGTTTATGCTCGTATAGGCTTCTATATGACAGCTTCACGACTACTTAACATTAAGGTTTAGTTAGAAGTCTTCATCCTGATAAAAATTACAGTTTTACGTGCATTGGGTTTTTTAAGGTTTATTGTGTTACTTTCTTGAAACTTAATGATGAAACTGTTTTACGTACTTCAGAGAGATCATTAAACCGTTAAATCCTTTGGTGCAATTAAAGAAAAAAGCCCTTTCAACATTACTTTAGAACCATGAGCCAATCTGGTTCCAATGAAATAGCCCTTTTAGGGTAAATGCCGGTCCCAAACCTGAATAAATGGGGAGGGTTGGTGATGGATTCAGCGATCCGACTCCGCAGAAACCAATCTTGCTAATAAAAACACTAACATGAAACGAACCTATTTGGGTTATACAACCTTTGAAAACCAAAAAGAACTGCACAGTTTCGTTCCAACTAAGGGACTCCCCAGCAGTATGCATCAACAAACTTGCAACCTGGAAGTAAACCCAAGAACTTGAACCTTGAGTCGGCATCTAATGGTGTACAATTCTAACTTTAATCAATTAAGAAAGATTGTTTCAGTGAATAGTTCTCTTTTCAGCGAATTTGTTTTAAAAGCTGTACAAATGCAAATATATATACTTCTTTTTCGACCCCAAATGCCCTGGTACGGCCGAAAGTGGGGAGAGTCTACTCTCCCTCTCGAAATGCTCTCACATGGCTACGTGTATATATAGCCTCTTCCAGGAAAGTCTTACTCACTGCCTTCTCGTGGCGGCGGTGTTGTTTACGAGACTTAGAGTACGGAAAGCGAATAACTGGCGCTTTAACCAGATTGTTGGACACGGAGAATTCACCTAGGGGAGTTGGAAAACCCTGATTTCAAACCAATGGTGCACATGGGCTCCAGTATCCTGAGGGAAAAAATGACGTATGAATCAATCGTTGGTCACCGGCTACCATGGAACTTCATCTCCTGACGTTGCTCCACTGCCTTGTGGATCAGACCTTTAGGTCGAAGGCTTCGGATGTGGCCCCCTAAGAAAACTACCTGCAGTATCACTGCCCTCACACAAATCAAATGATATTTGTGTAGTGCATATGTATCTGGGGCCCCCTTGTACCAATATCTATATGTTCAAATAAATAAATAAATACTTATTTTCCAGAATGATAAAAATTACATTAATAACGATGATAGTGATAATAAAATTCTGCTAAAAACGGTTGAATAAACAAAGGTATTAAAATATTATTTTTATCAGGCAAACTAATAATAGTTTTATTGTTCAGGGGTTGAATATTCATCATGAAGACAGGTAGGGAAAGCAGATGACTGTGAAAGTAGAAAAGTATGGAGAAGCAAGAAAATTACGGCATTAAGACCATGGTAGAAGTTTTATCAGTTTCTTTTGGAAACATAATTCCACTTTTTCAAGATGTATAGCTATTGCATCAGCAATACTATTAAAATGCATTATAACTGTCTTTGGCAGTCTTCTACTTGCTCTGCAAATGGTTTCGAATGCAGAGTCCGCTTTAATTGAGTGACCTATGTTCACAAGGTGTTCGATTATTGAGCGTCTTATTGAGCCGCTTCCGCCTCTTTTTAGCGACTACGGGTAATGTTCTTGAGTTCTTTCGGATAAAGTACGCATCGAACGACCTATAATATCAGGCTCCACATGAGCAAGTAAGTTGGTAAATGAACATAGAATTGGTCAGATGAGATAATTTATCCTTAAGATTATTGATGAACATTGGTTGGCTGGATAAAACTATTCGCAAAGTTGCTGCAAAGAACGTTCTTTTTAGAGGACATCTGTAACTCTATTACTCTTAAGATCAATGTTCATGTAAAGTGCTTTCTTTTTGACCGAGGTCATTTGTGCTTTATATTCTTGTCAATAAATATAAAAAATATCCATCTATGGTAGGTATTTTCTTCAAGATGCTCAATTAGTTATCTATGACCTCGGGACTACAAATTCTTCGTATTTGCGTGAAGATTAATATAATTAACTTTCACCTTCGACTAATGGGGACCCAGCTGTGGAAACATGATAGTTGGCCGTTCAACATGGGTTTCCCGTAGATAGATCTTCTTAGAGTATCTTCTTGTTTTTTTTGCCATTTTCACATTAAGAAAGTGAATACCTTGTTTGCTTTCAACTTTATTCACTGCTGAATGGCAGCTATTAAATATCTTCAGATTACTCAAATCATATTTGTTGTCACAAATGATGAAAATACCATCCACGTACCTGTTATACAAATGGAAGTTATCAATACTCCTTTCAATTTAGTTGTTCCCTAAACTGATCATGAAGAAATCTGCTAGTAATAGACAGAGAGGAGATATCATTGCAATATCATCCTTTTGTCTATGAATAACGTCGTTGAATGTAGGTTGTACATTACCAGTACATCGTAATAGTTCCTTCAGATAAGCTTCCGGTATTCCAATATTCATCTCATTATTATTTATATACTTGCAGATAAAAGTGATGGTCTCTGTGAATGGAACATTAGTGAATAGTGATTCGACACCGAAAGAGAGAGAGAGAGAGTACAAGTTTATCATTTACACCCACTTGTTTTATTTATTCGATGAATTCAAAAGTATCGTGTAAGGAATGTATATAATTACGTTTTCTTACGGGTTTTACGACATACGCCAGCCACTTTGCTATATAGTAATAAGGGGATCGGGACATATCAAGAATTGATCGGAGAGGTAGGCCAGATTTGCGTGTTTTAAGTAAACTATATGGTCGTGGTATTATTGATCCTGTTCGTTTTATGAACTCATAGATATCTTCGTTGACTGACTGATCATTTTTCATCCTCTTAAGAACTTCAATCAGTTGCTTTACTATCATTTCAGTCTTGTTTTTTTCATCGATTGGTTTAGAGAACTTGGTATTATCTGTTAATAACTTTTTCGTTTTGTCGACACAGATCAATCCACCATATTGGGTGACTATCTTCCATTGTCTTGGTTTAGGTTTCCTCCTCACGTCAGACACGGTTTAGTTCCATTGGTTACGGAGTCTCACAAAATGGTCATCCAGTAATTTCAGGTCTTCAGTAGTGTACAAATTTATATCAGTTCGTGATTTCAGTGAAATTCAACAATTTCCACAATTTCATACTGGCAATTATCAATACTATTAGTTCATGAATGTTATTAATACAAGTTTATAGTGGCTTTAATACATAACATTCCCTTAGAAATATTCTTGTAACAGAGTAGATAGAATTGTCTAGATATTAGACAATTACAGCTACCTAGTAGACAGATAAGTTTAAACAACATAAACTGAGACATTCAGTGAAGTGTACTAGTTTCTAAGTCAGTCAGTCAGTCAGCTACAACGTAAGACCAGGCACATATGTGCATCGGTCCAGGTTGCTATACCGCATCAGCACAACAAGATGAACACCGGATTCATAGCAGTGGTTAGGTAAAAGGTAGTAATATATAAGAGAAAGATTGCATATAGAGATATAGTACAAGAAGAAAGAATTGGTTCGTAGAAAGAAAGATATGAAGTGATTTTAATCTCTTAGTTTAAGGGAAGACAGGGAGTGTATACACCTACGCCATTGTGATCGATTCTGAGCCATGTCACCAAGAGTCTCCAACCATTCGTTACGATAGTCACGCGGACCCCAACCAAGTAGTCTGCATCTACCAACATGGCTCAGACTAGAAGTTAGTGACTTCAAGCACTGATGCCACGTCTTGGTTTGGCCGCCCCTAACTTTCTACCAACCATCCCCTACACCGGTTAGCATTGCACGTCGTGGTAATCGGTGTTCAGGCATACGCAACACGTGGCCCAACCATCTCAGTCGATGAAGATTCATAACCTCATCAACTGATTTACCATCATTCCCTAATACCCTGCGTCTAATCTCACTATTACTTACCCGGTGATCCCAGCAGATGCCAGCAATATTTCTAAGGCATCTGCGGTCAAATACTAATAGCTTACGAGTGTCTTCTACTCTTAATGGCCATGTTTCGCAGCCGTAAATTAAAACAGAACGAACTGCCGCACAGTATGCTCGTCATTTTATTGATAGACCGATATCTCGCATTCGCCATAGGTGACGTAAGTTGGCAAAAGCCAAACGAGCTCTTCGAATCCATGCTGAGGTTTCGTCAGACACCAACCCATTAGGGTTGATCAGACTTCCAAGATAAGTGAAGTTGTCAACGCGTTCGACTACTTCACTCCCTATCCTTAGTTCAGGTGTTGATGCAGACCAGTCCTGAAGCTACAATTTGCATTTAGAGGGAGAGAAGCGCATCCCAAACATTCTGGCATTGTTGCTTAGTGCTACCTAAAGACTCTGCATTTTGTCAGCGTCTTCACATAAGAGGACTATGTCATCTGCGTATTCTAAGTCGATAAGTGGACCTACTGGAAGGAGGTCAATAGATTGCTCGAAATGTATAGTACAAATACATCACCAATTTTCAGATCAATTCCATCTTCTCATTGTTCTATCGAAAACAAATACGTCGACTAAGATATAAAAATAAAAAAAACTATTAGTTTACATAAACAAATAAAACTGAATTAGTTCTATCCTCGTTGAAATACACTCCCGTTTTTGTTCTCATTATTCAAAGTATCCATAGGAGTCTTTCAGAATTTAGTCTCTTTAAATACTTTGTAATTGTTCTACATTTTTACAGAATTTTATTACATACAAACTGATTTGGTAATAGGAAAGTGCAGGAGATCGTATTTATTTGATGCTTTCATGAATTTATAAGATTGTTTATCATCTAATTTGTTTATGGGACTAATCGAAATATTTGATGTTTATTTAAAAAAATGGTCCAGTTCTTTCAATGTATTATCTCTTGAAACCAGTTGTGTATGTTTTCTGAGAATATTCTTCAAGTTTGAAAATAGTCTTTAATAATTCAATAAGCTTATACAATCAAAAGGTTATATATATATATGCGTAGTAAAGAATGTAGTTGTATAGTTAAACCGATAGATGGAGAGTGCCACGACCAGGTCTAAAGCCAGCTTGGTTCTCTAGTGTTTGCAGTTCACGAGTCTCAGTTAGGCGTCTGATAATTATCGAGGCTAGTATTTTAGATATTATATTAGTTAAACTAATCCCTCTGTGGTTGTCACAGGATGATTTTGACCCTTTCTTATATATTGGGACGATAAGTGATTGTGACCAGTTAGATGGAATAACGTCTAACTCCCAGATTTTAGCTAAAATATTAGTCAACCTAATCGCTAAAATTGGGCCACCATCCTTAAAGACCTCTGGAGCCAATCCATCTGGACCAGCTGCCCTTCCTCGTTTCAGATTAACTATAGCCTTTTGAACTTCAGCAAGAGTTGGGGGACCTACTTCAATGTTCCATTCACACTGTCTGGGAATGGAGGGTAGTTGTAGAGTGGCTGAAGGCCAGCTGAACTGTTCTCTGAAATGTTCCGCCCATCGTTCTAAACGTCTGGACTGGGAGCAGATGAAAGTATCGTCTTTTTTCGATATAATCTCACTTACACTTGACTTATTAATTCCAGTTTCTTTTATTAGTCTGTAAAGCTGTCTTGTGTTCCCTATAGTCGCCGCCTTTTCCATCTCTTTTGCTTTCGTTGCCCACCACTGCTCACGGTCGTTTCTTAGACTTTTTCTTAACCTAGATCTGATTTGTTGTCGCTCTTCATCATGTTCAGAACCTGATGGGACGAGTTTGCGAGAATCCATCAGTGTGATAGACTTTGAAGAAATCCACTGGTTCTTTGAAACTCTGTGGTTTAAGTCGCTAATAGATGTCACTGCTGCTTGTATGTCTTTCCAAGCAACATCTGGGTCAGCCTCGTCTTCAGAACTACCTAATCGTGACCTCAGTTGTTCCTGGAACCTACTTTTGGTTTCCTCGCTACTCAGTTCGGTTCTAATGGGTCTTTTTAATGTGGCTTTTTTGCGTCCAGTGAGGCGCAAGCAGATGCGTGCCCGTATTAGGGCGTGGTCGGAGTCCAAGCAGGTACTCCAGAATGAGCGACAATCTTCTACCGACCCTCTCCAATGATGACTGATGGCAATATGGTCTATTTGAATAAATCGTTGGTTTGGTGTAGGGGGTCGCCACGTTAGACGATGTCTCTCCTTATGCTTAAAATTTGTGTTTGCTAAAAATAAGTGATTGTCTGAGCACAGTTGCAGCAGACGGTCACCATTATCTGTTCGCTGTGCCGGAATGCTAAAATATCCACCTAAATGCCTTTCTGTTTGGTTTAAGCTACCTATCTGAGCATTAAAGTCACCACCTACGAGTACTATGTCTGAGCGTTTAGCTTTCTGAAGAAGTTCAGAAAGCTTTCTGTAAAATTCATCTTTCACATCATCTGAGCTGCAGTCAGTGGGAGCGTAGGCAGAAACGACAAAAAGGCAACGACGTGTGTCCCTATCCTTCCGAGTTCTTACGGAGCCGTTTAGCCGAACAGCACATAGACGATTGTTGACGGGGATCCACTCTAGCAGTGCTTGTTCGGCCCTCATGCTTAGTGCTATGCCTACACCTGCCAGTCCACGAGAACTGGCCATCAGGTCACCAGATACATGTAGGGTGTATCTCGTTGGCTCTCCGTTTTGCCGAGGTGAGGTCAAGTGAATGACCGCACTGGAATCCTGCATGCGTGTTTCGGAGACACAGCATACATCAATGGAAAGAGACTCTAGGGTTTTAGCCAAGGAAGCCTGCTGACCGATTTGACATAGAGTGCGTACGTTGAAAGCTCCAATGTGTAGTTTGGAGCGAGGTTTCAGTAGACCTGGGACAGAGTTTTGAGCACTAGAATCGTTGGCTATGGTGACACTTGAGGAGGAAGCCGAAGGAGGAGGTTTAGGGTTGAAAGTCGATGTAGGAGGAATAATAGGAATTGAAGAGGAAGGTTGATTATGAATACAGTGGTCTTGGGTGCTGTTAGAGGTATGAGGGCGGTTATCACTTCCCGGTTGCCCACACCGTGGAAGGGTTCTTCTGGAGGTACCTGAAAAGGAAATTGGATTAGAGGTGGTCTCAGTGACCTGAGAGCGTGACCACAGTGCCCAAGGGACAACTGCTTGAGGCCGGTCGCGCACGGCCTTTTCGTGGGAGGTTTTTGACGTGTTAGCTCCGTTCTTCAAAGGGCCTTACCGCCGGAGACGGACATCCGTGAGGTAAGGTGAGGTGCGCATTTTTAGGGTCGACCTTTTCTAACCCCACCCCTCCTTGTGGGAAGGCAGCATCGCTGTTATCCTGGTTGTCTGAAGGAAACACCTTACTGCTGTCACACCTCTGTACAGTCAGCAGTACGACTTCGCCTTCGGACCTTGGGTTTGTTGCTTTTAGTCTTACCGCTCTTCAACCGACCTGTCTGACATGGTAGGACATTGGGGAACGGTTGTTCCAGCCAGTATAGCTCGGTTGCTTCATCACGATAGGCAAGCCCGACCACCACGTCAAGGTAGCAACAACGGTCGGGAAAGTTTCTAAGTAAATTTAATTAGATTGCAAATTATCTACATGAATGGTTGCCAAGATTTTTATGAATAATTTCATAAAATCTCTAAAAATACAAGAAAACACAATGTGTTAGGTGTTATTATCAACAAAGGAGGTCAATCATCCACTTAGCTTTGTATAATCGTTCCCACAGTCTTTTCATAGACCTCAACGAAACTCAACTAAAAAGAGGCTACTTTCATTTATCTTATTGTAATTGTAAACAATCCTTAACATTTTGTAAATTATCTGAGAATTTTCCGCAAGTTTAACCCGTAACTTGAAGTAGTCATAGTTTGTATATATGTATTGAATACACATCTTTATCTTCAGCTACAAACATTCTTTGGGATCATATAACATTAGTCAAAATATAGATAGATGATCAATTTAAAAGTAGTATAATTATTCAGAATAGAAATTATTATTGTGTTTTTACATTTTAATCTTACCCATGACAAAATCCAACAGTTTGCCAAAGAGCGACTAGGTTAGCTGTACGTTTCACTACTTCTTTAAAGAATTCCACATAACAATTAATAATATCATTTGAATATTCTGACCAAATCTTAATTGACGAATGTTTTAAACAACAGGCAATGCAAAAAAACAAGGATAAAATGAAGACTTTATCCACTTTACGGTGAAACAATTAAAAAAGTTATTCAAACGGATAATTTATAGTTTCTTGTTCTATTTAGAGACATAGAATCACTGAGAACTGGGAAATAGCAGATATCAGTATGAGAGTTGAATAGAAATTAATGAATCTTATAGTATATATATTACGGATTGAACTTAGTTAGACAATCACTGAAAAGTATGAAACATTGGATAGCTTACTTTGTCCTAGCATAAGGATTTTTTAAAAATGCGCATCCACAACCACATCCGGGACCAAATCTCAAACCATTAAGCCTTGTGGCGAGTAATAAACCTTCATACCACAGAGTTAGCATTCAACATGAATCAAATCAACTGTGAAACCATCACACAATGACATTTGTAGGCAAGCTCTCATGCAATTAATGGTTTTGAACTCCACTGATATTGGTTTCTCATCAGCACTCCGGAAACTACCTCTCGAAATTAATTTCCAGTGGGCACACTGATTAGGTTCAAAAGCTAGGAATACAAACTGTTGGATGCCGACCTAGGGGTTAGGAGCTTAATGTTACACCATAAAGTCTGAGGGTCCTCGATTCCGTCCCTGGTGAAGTCATGGATGAGCACTGTGGAAGTCAGCCATTCATAAGTAACGTAGAACATGGCCCATACGTCTATCGGTTCAAACTACTAAAACAAATTAGTACAATGAAATGAAATTTTCGAGACAGATCCCAGATTAATAGAGGTGGTAACAGTATAAGTGGTGATAAAGAAGAATAGAGATAGGAGGTACGAATCAAGAAAAAATATGGATTCGTCGGATAAAAAAGCCTTTTAAGATAATTTTAGGACTTCAGATCAAAAGGAAAACAGAGTGAATGCACCTGCACCATCGAGGACGATCCTCGGCCCTAATTCTCTAACCACTGATTACAATAGTCACGCGGACCCCAACCAGGTAGTCCGCATCTACCAACAAGGTTCAGTGCAATGGCCAACGACTTCGTGGCTTGATGCCACATTTGGTCACTTTCAGCTTCCTTCCTTCCAACCTACTCCTATGCCAGTCATGATCGCGCCACAAGGTATGTAGTACATGGACACACGCAATACATTTCCCAACCACTTTGGTTGATGAAGATTCACTACCTTATCAACCGATCTGCTATCCGTAATGCTGAGGAGTCCCATATTCGGACCGTATAGCTATCAGGTTTTTGCTGGTCTTTGATTGTTGTGTAACTAATGTCAGTTTGTGATGCAAATTATGAAATATTCGATAGCCGTTGTGTCCTAGTAAGTTCTCAAGACTTAATAAATACTACTAACTTTAAACTCAAAAGTGCTTCACAAACCATCCAACAGAAAAATAATTGTGTGTATGCATTAATGACTAGTCCCGAAATCGACTAGCTCGCAGAAAACCTGACTACGCTTACATTTCTCGGTTAAAACTTATCCTCCCGACATCATATGTTCATTTGACTTTGGAGAGATATGTGACCTGTTTGGACTTGCTCGGTCTATCATCCCTTCTATTTTCAAAAGCAGGCTTACCTTTTCCGTTCCACTTGAGGTGAAGCGATAACAATTACATTACATTATTATAGTCATTTTGATGGAACAGAAAACAACTACATATAAACTATACTATTATAACTTTAAAATATCATTAGGAAGATTTATTTCTGAAACAGTTAATATTAGAAAACAGAATTACTTACATGAGGATAAAATTGCTGTATTACGTAATTAGTAAGTTGTGATACAATTGTCAAATTACCAACGCTTGGTCCGAAACGCCCAGTAATTGGATCTGGGGACTTAGATATTTCAAAAGATCCAAACCTTTGAAAGAAACAACAACAAAAATATAGTGAAAACTATATATATATATATAACCTGTCACAACAGAATTAGGTGAATTACACAATCAAATTCATCAGAGTAAATAAAAAAATGCAAAAAACACATTTGGCCATGTAATTACGGAAATTTTATCAAACTGATGAGTTCAATTGATAGTTAGTAAACATGTAAGATGAAGGAAGTGTCTAAGATGTGTTCAAGCATTGGATTATTAAACAACTTTAGTAATCGTTATGATAAAAAACAGAGTAACGATCTTTCAAAAAGTTTCTCTGAACATTATACTGCTTGGCTATTAAAACGACTACCAAGGTCAGTTAACAGTCCAATTCTTGAACATCGCGTTGACACTGGTCAGATCGCTCCATCAGAATCCTTCTTCAAAGTCATCCGTGGTGTCAAATAAAAGGGTTTTAATCAGAGTACAAGTCAGGAACTTATGTACCGCAAAGGTTTTAGAAATCCATGGACTTCAGCCTATTGTCTATGTGCAGAAACATCAAGTTCAATACCTCATTTTGCTTTGGTCTTAACCCCCACTGTGTTTACTGTGCTTAGTAATCTGTCGCTATTACTTATTTATTATCTCTTCATAATCATTATTCACCTATTATTAAAGCAAATAATTATTCTACTTTTTATATTCATCGAATGAATGAACTTTAACAATTTTTAATCAACTGTCAGGTTATTACATAACTCCTCTTCTATATTCAATTTTCCAAACAATTTACAATGAAATACTACTCTATGGTCACAACATATTAATATGCTTCAAGTTGTCAAATATCTTCCACTTGTAACCCATTTCACTTCGATCTATTAGGTACTAACTAATAATATAAATAAATAGTATATAGAAATAAGATATGGAAGATTACCTAACTGACGATCATAAGAAAGGTAGAGAAGAGAAAACAAACATGTGCCAAGAAACGACTAACGAAGTAAGAAGGGGGGTTTGTGCCACAGTAAACCAAGGGATAGGATAAAACCGCTTTTGAAGCTAAAGATCAGGCCTCCGCTATGTGTAAATCCTTTCGACTTTGAATGGAGATTCTGGTGAAAATAGATGACCAGATTTGACCAGGTGCTCAACAGTCGAGCTATTGACTGATTTCCCTTCACCTTTTAATAACCATGCTGAGTAGTGCACGAATAGGCGTATTTAGAATGGTCAGGCTTTGTGAAGCCAATAATAAAGTTCCACAAGAGCAAGTAGCTGATAGATACATATTGAGGTCGCCCAAAGCCGTAGTTTATCCTTGGCGAATCCTTATATTAGACATATCTTGGAAAATACAATTCGTAGCTCATTAGAGTAGAATTTCTTCTTCAAGGATCTAGACAATTGATTTCGCAAGATATCTGCGGCTGCATGCAACTCTTTAAAACTGAGTGTTTACGAACAAAAACTTCGATACGGTAATGGTTCCTCCAATCAAGAATTTTGGCTTCAGATTGTTATCAGTATTTGTCTATTCTTAATTTTGCGCCGATTATGTTTCCTGTGTATTGTATTATAATTGCCACAATAAGACATAAATGAATAGGAGAATTACACGATGTTCACTGATTTGACATTATTTATATCTCATTTTGGTCATTTTAATGCAACAATTAAGGCTTTATAACTGTATAGCCTAATGATAATGAAATTATTTACAAAATTCGTTTACTCGAATACATCAGATTTTTGAATGTTGCTTGGGTTTTTTTAAGCTATGAAATAAAAACTCTTGTAATTGATAATCGTTTACAAAAAATAATAATTACCTGATGAATGTCTTAGCTACTCTGCTAGTTATACTGGCTTTTTCAGTGATATTATCACCTGTATAAAACATGTCACGTTGAACCAGAGTGTCAGATGTGATAATTGATGCAGCTCGAGTAGTTGGAATGCCTAAATAATACATTGCCTAAAAAAGATGGGAATAAGTAAGGCATGATATGAGAATTATAAGGAATAAAGCATATAATGTTAGCACGATAGGATACAGGCTATCGGTTCAAATTGGAATACGGTAATTGGTCAGCTTTTCAAACAATCAGTGCTATTGAATGCTAAAATATTGTCACATAACGCCAAAGCATATTAACGAATGACCTTGCAAAAAATTGAGTTTATAGTCATTAAAGTTTGTCTACGCGAACATGCGTCCCCACAGAAATTTCCTGATGAACATGTTAAGATCAATGAATGTGTTCAGCATCATAAAATTGAAAAGAAAATGTGCTTGCTGTGTCTTAGTTTGAAACAAGACGACTACAGACAAAGTGCTGAAATGAAAATTGCTTATCCAGAATAAAGGCTGTTCACCTTAAGTGAAAAGAATCGCCTCTTATAACAGACCTCCAACTCTATTTACTAACTTACATGTACGTTCCAAAGCACATACACAAGAAAAACAGAGAAAAGTATATATCCATATTTTCGAGAATGCTCTAAAGAGTTTGGGATGAAAAAGTGCAACAACCCTGAACGCTGCAACAGCTCAGTATTTATTCATCAGCGTGCAAACTATCTTGCAAAATTATCATCCGACAAGAACACGCAACTCCTTTCCAAAACAATAGTGAATAAAAACTCAGACAGGATTTTTGTATCCAAAAACAGGCAGTAATCAATTTGTTTGAACTGAGACCTCTAACTATCACTGTATTTTCATAGCTTCTAAGTAACAAACTCCGATCAGTTCACGATTATGAAGTTAAACATTAACACCGTTGGGTGCTGGCCTGGTGGTCTAGAAGTTAAGTGTTCGCGTGCGGAACCAAAGTTTCTGGGTCCGCACTGCTGGTGAGTCCTATACTAAAACAAGACAGACGTCTACTACCTTCACGTTTCTAGCGGTGGTCTAACTAATTTCAGTTCGTGATTTAAAAACTATGGAAATCCTACAATCATAGAACTTTATACTAATATTATCATACGAAATATTTGTAAAGTCAACTATTTCACTTATTTTAAGATCCTCTTTCCGTTTATCTGTGATTTCCACCTGTTCAACTATCTAAACTTATGTAAAGTCCTCAAATATTCCATAACTATTTCCCAATCCATCTTATTAATTTTCGAAATCTAGTTAATTACTACCTTACTCCTATGCGTTTTATGTTTATCTTCATATGATTTATATATATATAGCTTAAAACTGTTGTCATTCCTGTACTTTTTCATCACCAACGTTTATGACTTCATACTATACCATCAATCAATGTTACGTTTTAATAAAAATACAATTGTAAACATTCGAAGAGAAACCATGAAATAAAATAAATCTGTATTACTCTGCCTCAATTTAGGTTTTGGCTTTATTCAAAATAAAAAAACAGATTTAGTTGAGTTATACTGGTGTCAGTTAATGATGAAAACCTTAAACTTAAACTCCAACTAGGAATAATGTGCAAACTCGTAAAAATCTATTAGAGACCATTTTAAGGGTTCGAGAAGATGAACAATTCACATATTCATAAATATGAATTTCTATAATGATATTTTCTCGATTTTCAAACAGATTAACCTGTAGAAGACATAAATAGGTTTGATGACTATGGAAATTCTGTCCACACTTTGTAATATTATTACTTCTCCCCATAAATTATGCATATACAAGAGCTGTTTTCTGATTGGTTTAACAACTAGCCGAAAATTCGTTCTGGTTGCTGTATACTCGTCTTGATGCTATACTTTTATCGGATAGCCCACAACTAAATTAGGGCTATTTCTAAATGCGCTGATTACATGTTGAGCGTCCTTGACGTGACTGAATGCATAGTCAAGTGTGTTTGAGTGAATAAAAATTATTTTCCCACCCAAGGTCTAACTTTAACACTACGTTATTATAATTTATGGATTAAGCGATCGTACTTAAGATAACACCTCTTGAATCTTTGGATGAAATCTATTACTATTCGTTTTTATTGGTATAAAGCATTTTATATGATATCGATCCGTGATGAAAACCTTAATCCTAGTTACAACAGACCGTACCCGGACTCCTAATTCCCAGCCTAAGCCACTTTTTATTCATCGACCACGTTGAAGCTGTTGATCCATCTTAATTTGTCTTTGCTACAGACTACTTTATAACGAAACATTGTTTTTTAATTGACTGAATTCATTTGAGGTTGTTGGTATAATACACTTTTGTAATGTATGCTCCCGATCGAAGCTGCTACCTTGACGCGGTGGTCGGGCTTGCCTATCGTGATGACCCAACCGAGCTATATTGGCTGGAACATATGTTCCTGCAGGTTCTACCATGCCAGGCAGGTCGATTGGCGAACGGTAAGACTAAAAGCAGCAACTCAAGGTCTGAGGGCGAAGTCGTACTGCTGACTGTAGAGAGGTGTGACAGCAGTAAGGTGTTTCCCTCGGACAACCAGCATGACAGCGATGCTGCCTTCCCACAAGGAGGGGTGGGGTTAGAAAAGGTCGACCCTAAAAATGCACACCTCACCTTACCTCACGGATTTCCGTCTCCGGCGGTAAGGCCCCTTGAAGAACGGAGCTAACACGTCAAAAACCTTCCACAAAAAGGCCGTGCGCGACCGGCCTCAAGCAGTTGTCCCTTGGGCTCTGCGGTCACGCTCCCAGGTCGTCAAGACCAACACTAATCCAATTTCCTTTTCAGGTTCATCAAGAAATACCCTTCCACGGTGTGGGCAGCCGGGAAGTGACATCAGCCCTCATACCCGTAACAGCACAAGAGACCAAGGTGGTCACATTCAAATCCTTCCTACACCTCCTAATACCTCTCTTATCCTCCCGACTAACCCTCCTCACGTCTCTTTATCACCTCGCACCGCTAGGGCAAACGATTCGAGTACGTGGAACGCCATTCCTGGGCTCCTGAAACCACGCTCTAAACTACACGTAGGAGCTTTTAACGTACGAACACTGTGCCAAATAGGACAACAGGCTTCCTTAGCTAGGACTTTAGAATCTCGCGCCATCGATGTGTGCTGCGTCTCCGAAACGCGCATACAAGATCCGAGTAGCGTCATTCATTTGACCTCACCATGCCAAAATAAACAACCGACTCGATTTACGCTTCGTGTATCTGGAAGCCCTGATTCTGCTTCCCGTGGCCTCGCTGGCGTAGGTATAGCATTGAGTCCTAGGGCAGAACTAGCTCTCTTAGAGTGGATCCCAGTAAACAGTCGTTTGTGCGCTGTCCGACTGAACGGAACAGTAAGAATCCGGAAAGATAGGGACACTCGTCGTTGCCTCTTCGTCGTCTCTGCCTATTCTCCCACTGACTGCAGCTCAGATGATGTAAAAGATGAGTTTTACAGAAAGCTTTCCGACCTTCTCCGAAAAGCTAAGCGCTCGGATGTAGTAATAGTGGCCGGTGACTTTAATGCTCAAGTAGGTAAACTAAGCGATAAGGAAAGACACCTAGGTGGATCTTATGGTGTCGTGGCTCAAAGAACAGATAATGGCGACCGTCTGTTGCAGCTATGTTCAGATAACCGCCTGTTCCTTGCAAATACTAACTTTAAGCATAAGGAAAAACATCTTTTAACATGGCGACCCCCTAATTCGTCCCAACGTTGGACCCAAATAGATCACATCGCTATCAGCCACCGATGGAGGGGCTCGATAGAAGACTGTCGCTCATTCTGGAGCACATGCTTAGATTCAGATCATGCTCTAGTGCGAGCGCGTATTTGCTTGCGTCTTACTGGACGTAGGAAAGATCCTGCAAGGAAACCTCTTAGGGCCTACCTAATGATAGTCAAGCTAAGAGTATATTTCAGGAACAACTAGGAAAAGAGTTAGGCAGCCATGTATGTGATGCCCACCCCGAGGCAGCATGGAACGATATCCGAAAAGCTGTGGAAACAGCAGTGATATCTGCTAGTAAGGTAAACCGTAAAGTTAGGGAGCAACACTGGATCTCAGCAGCATCTATCGCACTGATAGATGCTCGAAAACTCATTCCACATGGCTCTGAACATAATGAAGAGCGGAGTCAGCTTAAGCGCAAGCTGACAAGAAGTCTACGCAATGATCGTGAACAGTGGTGGGTAGCGAAAGCAAGAGAGATGGAAAAGGCAGCGGCAATAGGTAATAGCAGACAATTGTTTAGACTCGTTAAGGAAACCGGAATTAGGAAACCGACCGTTAGCGAAACAATCTCAGAGAAAGATGGACATATTATTCATTCTCAATCCAGGAGATTGGATCGATGGGCAGAACACTTTAGGGATCAGTTCAACTGGCCTTCAGCCACACTTCGGTTTCCCACGATCTCCAGTCAACCTGAATGGCAAGTTAATGTAAGTCCTCCGTCCCTTTACGAAGTTGAAAAAGCCATAGGAAATCTGAAACGAGGGAGAGCAGCAGGCCCTGACAGGTTTACTCCTGAGATTTTTAAGGATGGTGGTCCAGTATTAGCAGCAAGATTAACCGAGGTCTTAGGTAGAATTTGGGAACTGGACGTAATCTCATCTGACTGGTCTCAATCACTGATTGTGCCAGTCTATAAGAAAGGACAAAAGTCCTCCTGTGACAATCACAGAGGAATCAGTTTGACTAATATAGTGTCTAAAATATTGGCCTCAATAATACTTCGACGCCTAACTAAAGCTCGTGAAGAACAGACTAGAGAAAACCAGGCTGGTTTTCGACCTGGACGTGGTTGTATAGATCAGATATTCACACTACGTCAGGTTCTAGAACACAGACACACATTCAGACGCCCCACAATGGTAGTATTTCTCGACCTTAAGGCGGCATTCGACTCCGTTGATCGTGAGGTTCTATGGCAGTGTTTGTCACTGAAAGGAGTACCAAAGAAGTACATTAACCTTATAAAGGCTCTCTACTCGAACACAACTGGTAGAGTGAGAGCTTATGGCGAACTGTCATCAGAATTGATCACCTCAAGTGGTGTTCGTCAGGGCTGTC